GCTTGGCTAGGTTAAAAAAGTCCTTGGCTCTCATTTTCTTTCCTTGAATATCTTAAATACCTTATCCATTTTCTTGTGGCATAGAATGTTGTTATTAGAATGTTTTTTAAGAATTGAATTTTCTTTTCCTGATGTGTTACTCTGTCTTTTTGTCAAGATGTCCAAAAGATGTTTCTCCTTTTTATTTTTAAAGTCCAATACTTGGCTAGATGATAGCTTGGATGCATCATTTGGGATCAGTGAAGTGGTATGTCCTTCCCATTCCTTTCAGACTTTTTGTTTCCCCAGTTTTTGGGAGAAATGTGTTACTATTTCCTAACTAGAGTTATAAATTTGCTGTTTTTTCTTTTAGTCATCAACATTTGCTTTCTACATTTTGAGGCTGTTTTTATTATGCACATAGGAATTTAAATTTGCTAGATCTTTCTGGTGAATCAAAATTTTTATTGCTAGGAAATACTTCTTTACCTCTAGTACTACTTCTTGATTTTAAATCTCTCTTTTTTAAAAGATTTTATTTTTAAGCAATCTTTCCACCCAACGTAGTGCTGGAACTCACGACCCCGAGATCAAGAGTCACATGCTCCCCCAGCTGAGCCAGCTGAGCACCCTGAAATCTATTTTTTTCCCGATAATGTCTACTCTGACATTCTTTAGGTTTTTGATTGCTGTCTCTTTTCCCATAGTTTAACTTTTAACCTTTCTCTCTCTTTGTATTTTAAGGATGCTTCTTGTAAGCAGCTTATAATGGGGTTTTGTTTTTATCAAGTCAGCCGACCTTTAAATTTTTAAAGGATTTAACCTATTTACATTTTAATCTAATTACTAATTCACTTGGGCTTAAATGTTATTATTTTCTTTTTGTCCCAGTCAAAGTTTCCTTCTCTTTTCTTTCTTGCCTGCTTTAGTTCTTTTTAAACGATTTCATTATTTTCTCTCTTCATTTGGTAGTTATACTTTTTACAAAGTTTTGTAAAAATTTTTAGTTTTTAGTGGTCAAACTTGGAAATTACAATACTTTTTTGAGCTATCCAGTTTCTAAAAGAAATGATCACTTTTATCTCTTTTTTTTTTGGACAATGTGAATACCTTAGAAAAATCTCAATTCCATTTACTCATTTCTGATGTGCATGTTACTGCAGTTACGTGGGCCTGCCCAGCAGCCTGGGAAGCTTTCCAAAGCAAGGCTCTGTCTCCACCTGCCGTCCTCTGCATATCAGCAATTGCACCCAGGCTCGGAACGGCCACTTTGCCTACCTGAGTGTCTGCTCCGTGTGGGATCTTGGTCCAATAAGTGTTCAGTCTCGTGTTAGCTCTCGGATGTCTTTCATAACTTTTACAACTAATTCAGCTTTTCTAGTTGGCCTTGGTGAAGGAGTTGGTCTGATTTACCTGGTCTGTCACTAATGGCAGTGGAAATCACGTGCCAGTCACTACAGTCTTGTTGATGAAGACCAGTGAGCGGGTCAGGTATTGCTGCTAACGGAGTTGTCGGAATCCCCAAGTGCTTCCGGACCAGCGGCGTCTGGGGAAGGTGACTCACAGACCCAGCGTGTGGCGCGCCGAGGGCCATGTGTGTGACAGCCAGCCCTGTGGGCTGGACAGATTGCCGAGCTGTCTGAGTAAACAGAATCCAGAAGGGCACCTGAGGTGGCCTGTGCCGTGCTGAGCAGATTTGGGATCAGTGCCCAGGACCCAGGGCCATTGGGGCCTACCTAGCCTCTACAGGTCAACACGAAAATAGGCTCTTTGTTCCACTTTCACAAAGATGGACACAACAAGTGCTCAGTGCTGGTTCAGCAGCCTGTGGTTCAAAAACTGGAGTCTGAGCCAAAGGTCAGCGTCGGCGCATCCTGCCAGGGGGCCGAGGAGAGGTGAGACAAGGCATTCCTGGAACTAGTGGGTAGTCTTTCTTACGGATCTGAACCAAACTGGTGTGGGGGGGGGGCGGGGGGGCGGAGCGGGGCTCTGCATGACCTTCACTGGCAAGGGCACAGTGTGGGGCCAGAGTTTCCACACTTGCCCAATGCCATCTTCTTGGTGTTGTGGGCTGAAATACATCCTCCTGAATTCACGCGTTGGAAGTCCTAATCCCCAGTTACCTCGGACTGTAACTGTATTTGGGGATAGGGCTTTTAAAGATATCCTTATGTTAGATGAGGTTGTGCATGTGGTCCGTGATCCAGCAGGACCTGGTGACCTTATTCGAGGAGGGAGAGACAGCAGAGATGAGCACGCACAGAGAGAAGGCTGCGTGAGGACGCAGCTAGGAGGTGGCCAGGCACACGCCAAGGAGAGAGGCCTCAGGAGAGCTGAACCGGCCAACACCTTGAGCTCTGACTTGCAGCTTCTCAGACTGTAAGAAGATCTATTCCTGTGGTGTTACCCACCCTCCTTGCCGTCTGTGGTGCTTTGTTCTTGGCAGCCTGGGCACACGAATACACCTAGGGTACCGTCAGATTCTCTCAGAGGTGATGGTACAAACCCCTGTCCTCCCAGGAAACACCCCCTAGCCCCTCCTGGTCCTGCGGTATCCAGCTTTTGAAAAATCCCTTCCCAGGGCTTCGTTTGTCTGTTCTGTTTGCCCGCCTTAGTCTATCCTCCTTCACCAACCACCCACTTCCAAATGAGAACATTCTGGCAGGTTTCTTCTCTGAAGGCAGGGAGTCCAGATCTCTGGGGTTTCTGTCCTGAGGGTTGCTGCCACCTGAGTTTCTGGCTCTGCTGGAAGCACCAAAAGGACTTGGGATTGGATTTGCTCCACATCATGGGGGGCCGGGACACCTTGCCACTTCATGGGTTGCTCGTGACTTACAGGAACTTACCATTCCTAAGCCTCTTGCCCTGCTGTTTCTAGTTCTATTCCTGTGAGCCAGGCGGGGCTCTCAGGGTCTGAGAATGACCCAAACCGAGCTGTGGTTCTTGCCCTCATGGCATGACAGCTGGGACCTAAGCTAGATGACCTGCAACCCACAGGTGAGCGAGGCCGGGAAGGACTTGGGAAGGCGGACTGGGAGATGAGACACCAATTCGCTCCTGGGTGGTGAGCTTGTCCGCCTGCCACTGCTCCAGGGTGGGGGTGGGGGGACAGGCTGTGCGTGTGCCCACGTGTGTATGTTCAAATCACATTTCCTTTTGTCCTGCAGGCAATGGCACATGCATGAAATTCACTTTTTACTTATTGACCACAAAGCACTAGAAACTAAGATTTCAGGCACAAGGAAGGGCACTGGTAATGAACAGTTTCTGCTTAAACTCAGCTCCTTGTAAACATACAAGTGATAGGATACCTCCCACGTGTTCCCTCCCTTTGCTCGTCCTAAAACCTGAAAGACTGCTCCAGCAACAACCTTCATTCTAGATAATTCTGTATATCTAATTTGAACACCAAAGTGATGATTTTAAAATGTGAGTCATGTATAATCCTCTTTTTAAAAAGAGGAAACCTGGTTGGCTGAGTCAGTTAAGCATCTGAGTTCGGCTCAGGTCATGATCTTGGGGTCCTGCGATCCGCCCTCATAGTGGGCTCCCCACTCAGCGGGGAGTCTGCTTCCCCCTCTGCCTCTCCCCAGGCCCCCCTCCCTTGCTCATGCTTTCTCTCAAATAAATAAAATCTTTAAAAATAAATAAAAAAAGGAAACCAAAAGTCTAACGATCCTCCCAGGGATGACAAATTATTTCACCTATATTACTTAAATAACTATGAACACATTATTTAAGCTCTGTATGCTTAATAGCCCTTACCTAATGCTACCCAAGACCAGTGTACAAATGAAAGGCACAAAGTCTCCACACCAGTGAAACTCGCAGTAGCACGCTTTCTTGAACAGGATCTGCCATGTTATTTTCCTGAACCCAACACTGAATATCGTGTTTAGTGACACCACCTGTGTGGTGCGATGAAGCAGTTCCTCGGTGTCTCTCCCCTACTGGAAAACCTGCAAACACCCCACTTGCACTTCTGGAACACTGTGATGTTGTTCATGAATGAAGTCCTCCTTTCCATCCTTTTAAACAATACTTCGTGGCTCTAAAATCTCTAGAAACAGTTATGAGATGATCTTTTCATATGCCGTGGAACATGTTTACGTTGATTTTTAAGATTTTTGTTCAAAGGAAAACTGAAATTCTCATGGAGGGGTCAGGGATCTTCGGAATATATCTGGTGCTTCTCAGGGTGTTTGTAAACCCCAAGTCAATGGATTTGAGGTTCTGGCTTTCCTGTGAGCAGCTTTCCATCTGCTTCTCTCTGGTGCGCGTTTGTACCCCGCTACTCTAAGGCCCCGTGGGGCTGGGTCCCCAGAAGGTGCATGGGCCTGGCTTGTTTTTATTTTTCTTTCCCTGGGTGGGGCCAGGTGCGCGTGATGTGTGCAACGCAACCAAAACCCAGAGGGCGGTTGAGCTGCCCGAGGGAATGCTCCCCGCTCCACTGGGGCTCCCCAGCTGTCTGGCGTGTCCCCAGGTCTCTGGGCTGGGGCTGGCCCAGGGAGGGGACTCTGCCACACAGCGGATCCTGGCTGGGAACTGGCTGCTGACCGCGCCTCCCCCGGAGGAAAAAATAGCAGTTGGGTCCTTGGAAAAAACTAGCGCCTCACACGACCGGATTAGCAACTGGAGACGTACTTAAAAACAGAAACACCTGCCGCGGAATGGTGACAGGAAATGAAATTTCAGAAATGCCACCCTGCAGCCCCCCAGGGAGGCAGCAGCCCCTCCCTCTGCTTTGGTCGCCAGCTGGGACCTGCCCCCACAGGGAAAGCCCCACCCCCGTTCACCAGCGCCCCGCCCCCCCCCTCTGTGGACCAGCGGGGCGGGGCGCTGAGGCAGGTGCAGGGGGCCCGCGGGGGCCCGCGGGCGGGGGGGCTGCCTGCTGCGGGTGGCTGAGACCCCTGGCTCCCATGTGGGACCTCCTGGCTGGTAACAGAGTCAGGGAGAGCGGGTCATGGAGTGAAGGCGGATGGGTGGCCCCCTGAGGCCCACCGGGCACAGCCTTCCTTAGGTGGACCCTACAGCTCCTGGTGGGTCCTTAAGAAGATGACGTCCCTTCAGAGGTCTCCATGGGGCTTTTTGGGAAAGAGGAGGAGTGCTGTGTTCAGTCTGGGGCAGGGTCGGCAAAGCCAGGTACACACATTCCAGAGGGTGTGGAAGATCCTCTGTGGGGTCCGGGAAAGGAACCATTAGTCTGTTTAATGTTTGCCTTCGGGAAAAGAGAAAGCTGTGCAGCGTTATCAACATCAAATGCCTATGAACTCTGGCCCCTGGCCCCTGGCCCCTGACCCCTGAGGGTCGTGAGGGAGGGGAGCCCTGAGGGAGAAGTGGGGCCTGCAGCTTGGGGCAACGGCCACAGGCCCGCTGAAGGGGAGAGATTCGATTCTCTACACTCAAGTAAGCTAACTCGGAAAATGACAGGTGGCTTTAAGTCATCCTTGTAAGGGAACCTGGGACTGGAGAGGACCGTGATTTGGAAATCAGCGTGAGCGGCCCTTGGATGGCAGAACTGACTTTTCTCACCTCTGCGGGAGCTTGTAGTGAGCCAGGTTATGAGGTTAAACCACAGAGCTTCCCACAGATCTGACCAGGAGATGGCCAAACCGCTGGGACTTTACATCCATAGGCGCTGATGTCCACCGTGGCCTGATCACCAGAGAAAAGTAAGACACTTACAAATACTGTTAATTTCATCTTGATTGCACCCTTTTCAATCTTTTTTGCAGATGTTTTTCCTTATATGGAAAAAGTAATGTGTACGTAAATAGATACAACATGTAAAATAAGACAAAGAGAACCGATGTGGAGGCGTGAACAGCGCTTTGTCTGCAGGTAAGGGTGGGCAGGCAGCTCAAACACTCGAGGATGGCTGATCTAGTTTTTCACACTGGAGGTGCCTCAGAATTACCAGGAGGCTTGTTAAAACACAGGTCGCTGGGCCCACCTCCAGGGTTTCCGAGTCACTCCCTCTGGGGTGGGACTTGAGAGTCTGGGCTTCTAACAGGTCCCCAGGTGCTGTTGCCGCATCTGGGGCCTGTGGGGTCTACAGGAGTGGGCCCAGCCCAAGGGGAAGCAGGCCGACGCTAGGCCACGTCAGCCTGCCTCATGGTGAAGACCAGGGTCGCCCTGAAGACCATGGATAGCCACCGCCCAGCTGGCCACACAGCCTGGAAGTCTCCCACAGAGACAGATCCTTTAGCCTGAAGCCTGGCTTTGCAACCATGTCTGGAAAGGGGGGGAGCAAGAAACAGCGCTAAGGGACGGCTCAGCTGCCTGGGGCACAGGTGCGGGGTAAGGGGCTTAGAGCCCACCTACTTACCTTACCTGAGGACACAGGGCTTGGAACTCTCAGGCTGTGATGTTGCAGAGATCTGATGGCATCCCTGCAGGGACTCGCTAGCTTTTGACCTCAAATCTTCAATAAGGTAAACTTTGTGCAACGGGACAAAAATATCTTATTTTTCCACTCTTTTGCTGCCTCTGAGAAGGGTGGTACTGGAGGAGGAACTGAACTACCCCTGGGGGAAGGGGCGGGGGCAGGAGCTGGGTGGGGTGGTCTGCTGGGGGGCGGGCAGGAGGAGGAAGCTGTGGTCAGCACTGGGGGGACTTGAGAAGGAAGCTGTGAACAGTGTGTGTGTGGCGGGGGTAGGGGGGTTTTTCAGGCCTCACACTGCTCCCCTGTCCCTTGCACTCATAGCAAATAGGGCAAAGATGGGGCTGAGTCCCGCATCTCTCATCCGGTGGCAAAGGCCTGGTGCGGAGGTCTGGGCCCTGGCAAAGAATGGTGGTTTTCCCCTATTCCCCTCTGCTCTGGGCTTCCTCCCACAAATATTCACAGCCAACTTCTTTTCTTTCTTTCTTTTTTTTTTTTTTTAAACATTTTTCCAGGGAGTCTCTTGAAAACCAGAAGCAGTAACACACCAAGGGATGTAGTTCTGATGGCAGGATTTCAAGCTCAGGCTAGGAGGTAAAGAGTCAGTGTCCCTTATAAACGGGGCCCCCATCACATCCATCCCTAGGCCGTGTGCTTCAGAGGGAAGCAGTGCTATCAGGTCAGTTTTCTGCACCTGCCTACCCTGGCTGCCAATGAAGAATATTAGAATTCCAGCCCGTGGCACGCAGCCTGCAGGGAGCAGCTGAGCCCCCAGTGTGGCCAGGCACAGGCGCTGGCCTGCTAGCCTGCTAGGGTAGGGGCTGGGGTGGGGTGAGGGGGCCTGCGCTCCTTCCTTCCTCAGCTCTCCTCACAGGGCCCAGGGTTTGTCCTTAGGGGTAATTATGAGCCTCCTTTACCCACAGCATAGTGCCCATGAGGAGCCAGTGAAAACAGTGTGGGCTCTCAAGACTGGGGTCCAAATCCTTATGGCCAGCCGCTGGCCTTGAGCCATGGGTGATGAGGGCGCCCGCTGTGGATGGAACCAGGGATGTGGGGAATGTGTGCAGAGTGCCAGGCCCTTGGGTTGCTCCCCTGCCACCTTATTACGGACTGCTTCAGTCTGGCTACATGTGGGTTACTGCACTGAAAGCTAAACTTGGAGAACTTATCCCGGGTTCCCCGGGTACATGAAGGTGAGAGACATTAACTCATTCATTCATGCACATGGAAATCCTGAGTGCTGAGTGCAGGTCAGACAATGAACTAATAAGTATATAAGAACAAAGAACAGTAAAGACCCCTCTGGGAGGGGTGCCTGGGCGGCTCAGTCAGTTAAGCATCTGCCTTCGGTGGTTCAGGCCATGATCGCAGGGTCCTGGGATGGAGCCCGAGTCAGGCTCCCTGCTCAGTGTCTGCTTCTCCCTCTCCTCCCCTCCCTGCTGCTCGTCCCCCACTTGTGCTCTTTCCCTCTCTCTCTTATAAATAAATGAATAAAATCTTAAAAAAAAAAAAAAAGAAAAGCTTCTCTAGGAGAGGTTTTCATTGCAGAATGGCTTTGAGGCTCAGGGTGGGTCTCCCTGGAGACTGTGCTTCTGGGGGAGGCAGGGAGAGGGAGGTAAGGGCTGGCGGGCAGCAGGCACTGCCAGTAGATGGAAGCCTATTTCCACCTCCAGGCAAAGCAGCAGAAGAATCACAAAGTGGCTGCCCTGCCTAAGGGCTCACAGTGAGACAAAGGGGAGGCTGAGGCTGGAGGGGTCTGGGTCCAGACAAGGCTCCTGGTCCCTACTGGAGCCCTTCTCTGCTTACCTTCCTTCCTAGAGGCAACCTGCTGTGCCAAAGGCCACCGAGTCAGGGCTTTGGACTCAGATCTGGAAGCAGATCCTGCCCTCCTTCTTTGTGTTGGTAAGGTCATTTTAGTGCTCTGAGCCTCAGTTTTTCCATCTGTAAAATGGTGCTAATTCTATCTCCTTTTTCACTCCACTCAGGAGAACCAGGTGAGATCATAAGAAGTGCTTTGAGGACAATAGCGCCTTATACTCGATACCTACTGTGTCTACAGCGACAGCCTTCTCCTCAAAGGGGCTTTTATATTTTAAAAACAGCAAATCCATAATGAAACCCCTCAAATGTCACCGCAACATGGAGCAATCTGACCTTTCATCCTCGTTGATGGAGGCAAGCGAGGCAAGGACCCCCACAGAAGGATGGCGTGAGAAGAAAAGCTGAATCCGGGCGCAGCTCTGCACGCGGGGCGGGGTGGACGCGGCCGGCTCCCCACTAGGCTGGCCGACCGACACCGGCATTAAGGCCCGAGAAGCTGCAGCGAATGTCCCGGGTTCAGTGGCTGCACAGCTGGCCAGTGGGCAGCCGCTTCCTTTGAGATGGACCCAGGGGACGGCATCGAGGCAGCAAGGGCCACCTGTCTGTACCCTGCCTCCCGGGATGCCTGGGGCACTGGCTGGTCTCCTGGGCTCTCCCCACCTCATGCTTTCATCTGAGCCTTTACCCGGCCACGCACAGCTACCGACCCAGGACCTCTGAGAGCAGAGGTCTGGCCCTCTGCCTGCTTTTGCATGGCCCGTGAGCTGAGAAGAGTTTTCACACCCTGAAATGGTGTGAAATTCTTAAAAAAAAAAAAAAAAAAAAGTAATATTTTGTGACATGTGACAGTCACACAATTCAAATGTCAGTGTCCATAAATAGGGCCTTGTTCCCTCGTTGTGTAGTCTTGGGCCACTTTCACGCTACAGGCAGGGCTGGAGGAGGGGTGACAGAGGACAGATGGCCAGAAAAACCTGAACTACCTATTATCTGGTGCTTTGCAGAGAAAGTGTGCCGATCCCCGACTTAGATCCCTCCTTCCAGGGGCATTTGAACTTTAATTGACTCTCCTGTCTTAAGCAGCAGAGATGAAGTCCTTCATGGCAGACTCTAGACGCCTATCCACGGCAAGTGGCTCCCTCCGGCTGACTCGGCCAGGAGAAGGTGTGGGGAAAATTAGAGCCGAGGAACAAAGAGCCCCCAGGTTGTGAAAGAGCAGACTGGAGTTTCTAATTCTGGCTTCAACTAACTAATAATTATGTCATCTGAGCGAAACGGCTCCTCCCGTCCTGGTGCTTTTCTCATCCATTCAGAATCTGCCCTCTTGGCCTCAAACGGGGAGATAATAGCTGTGAAATGCTTTGTGATCTAAAATGCTTTGTGATCTAAAGCATCACTCAAGTGCAAAGATCAGCCAGGCTCTGGAATCCTGATAAGGTACATTACTTCCTCTCCAGGCGAAGGGAGCAGAAGGGACCGCAAGTGTCGCAATGCTGTTCTCATCCATCCCCAGTCAAGATGCTTGGTTTGGCAACAAGACTGTGGCAGACCCGTGGCATCTGTGCCGTTGACGTTCAGTCATTCCCAAACCACCCGGAAGGTCCCCGGCTGTCCGCTTGTCATTTTGCTGAGACACAGAACCGACTTACGCGGTTGCTGCTCATTGAGTGAATCTAGCGGACGGACAAGCAGCCTCATCCCAGGACGGCTCCCTCTTCTCTTGTTAGAACAGATGTAATAACTAATAAAGTGATGTAAAACTTCCTTTATAAATGACGGCTCTATACTCCTGACACAGGCCCTCTCAAAAGTCTGGGGAGGAGCTCCCTAGGAGTGCTGCGGGTCCACCGTAAAGCATTTCCTTGCAATCAGGAGACTCTGGCCTGAGGCGGCCCTGTCTAGATTCTGTCCAACGTGCCTTTAAGAAAAACTCCAGGAAGTGGCTTCCTTTTATGGCAGTCCCAGTTTCCGGTTCCTAGAAATAGCTGATTTCAACAGCACCTGATGATCACAAGTCCCAGGTCACCTGAGGGGGCCCGAGGCCAGGAATGGATGACAACCACGTTTTATTCGGACACCGAAACCCATTGCCGGGCGAAGTGCAGCCACGCCCCGCACTGGCCCTGGAGTGGGCCACCGAACATGCGGCTAGTATGTTTGTTTCCATTTGGCTAACGGACACGTGTGCTCTTAAAAATGCAAACCCACACCGGAGCCCGGGCCAAAGACAGTTGTGACAAATTGCATCACCTGGGTTTTCTTGTTTATAATAACTAGCCCATGCTGGCAGAGTGAATTGGCCAGTTGTGTGCTATTTTAAACCCTTCCTGCTCTTTTTCTCATTTGTGCCAAGGGCACACAAAGCTGCCTAGAAGGAAGGAATTCAATCAGCATTAGAAGAATGCACTGAAGTTCTGTTTCCTAAGCCCCAGGGGAGATGTGAGTGGGAGGGGAGGACCCGGCTAGCCAAGGACAGAGTCCTTTCCGTGTGTCTGTTTCTCCAGGCCAAGCACTGGACCCAGCTGACAAATGCTGGTGGGAGGGAACCATGGAGGTTGTCTGGTGCCAAGGAGAGGCCTGGGAAATAGTGGGGACCAGGAGGGGGTGGAAACATTTCCTGAGGCTTCATCCTGGCCCAGAGTTTCCATCTGCCGCCCCCAGAGTCCCATTCCTCCGCCTGGCCAGGTCCAGCTGGCCCTGGTGGAAAGGGGCTGCCGGCAGGACTAGTGGTCACCCCGTCCTTACCCTGGTCCTTACCCCCACCCAAGGCCAGAAGCCTTATGGAGCCATATTGTCTTGCTTGGGCCCTCCAGTCAAGGGCTTGGCTGCTGGACTGAAGGTCACCTTTTTCTCTGATCTCCCCCTCTGGTCAGTCTCAGAATGAACACACTTTTGTCCTCTCCCCAGTCTCCTCCCCTTTTCTGAAATGATATGCAAATCCCCCTCTACACTTGGGAGTGTTGGGGACGGTTCTGTGGGGTGCGACCCCTCCGCGTGGCCAGCCCACCGCTTGGGTTCACTGTGGAAGCTGGAGACTATACCACCAGCCTGGCCTCCCAGTGCCAACAGTGCGGTTCCTTCGCTCCATACTGGTGTGCGAGTGGGGCTAGCAGTCCTCCCCTGGCCCAACTCCTCCTGAGGCCCCAAGGCGTCAAAGCACAGGCTTGTGTTTGGGAATGACGGGAGTGGAGGCAGCAATGTAGGATTAATTCCATCTTAAAAGAGGCACCACAAGGCTTTGTATCTGCTAAGGGGGTCAGGCTGGCCTTGCGGATAATAGGCTATAGGGTGTGAACCCCTGGTGTGGTGCCCACAGGCGCTGGAAGGAGATACACAGATGCCAGCAGTGTCTGATTATTATGAACACCATGGAATAGACAGGTACTTTCTATGGATGAAGTACTTTACACCCAGGGGAATTTTGGGACCATAGTTAATAAGCTATGAATTCAGAGACCTTTAAATGCTGAAAAGTATTGAGAAAAGGTAGGTTTCAGGTTGGCCCCCCCGGGGGGGTTGTGCCGACCCAGTGGCCAGCATGGGCTCAGCTTCCCCAGTCTGTTCTGGGATCAGCATCTCCTGGGGTTCAGTTCTGCAACCTCACCAAGACTCGTTTCCCCCCTCATCTGCAAAATGGCGGAACTGCCCTACTTCAGAGGATTGGCAGAGGCGTCAAACTCAATGACAGAAGGAACTCTTCCTGGAATGAAGTCATAAAGAGAAGGTGAGGCACTGGGGAGACCGGAAGCCCCGAAGTCTGGAGACCTGAGTTGGAGAGAGATTCTTTTCTTGCCTCAGGCTTCCTGTCCCCTGCTGTACTCTGTTGGCATCTCCCCCATTTGTGCCATCTTTCCTGATCAAAATAGACTGTTACTCAAGTCCAGAGCTTTTTGTTCCTCTTTTGTGTTCAGAAGCAATGGCAAGCCCGGCCACCTATGAGGCCCCTGCAGAGCCTGACCACGGGGAAATCCATTCGCTGATGCCCAAGAAAAGGGGCTCCCAGAAACCCAAGGAAAATCATCTGTTGTGAAGCCGGAGGATTTCTTCTCATGACGCCGTTTTATAGACAGAGAGTGCATGAAGGGTTCCTAAAGATCTCGAGTCCACCTGCCTCGAATGAACACACCAACCCCAGGGGTATGTGGTATGTGAGAAACATGCACCCAGGCGCATTGATTTCACTCTTAGAAGTACATGTGGGGAGTTAAGTCATTTTAATATCAAATATGGATGTTTCAGAAAATGCAAATTGCTCATTGATCAAGATTAAACGCAAGGCTTCAAAGTAGTTTTGGGCTTGCAGCTTAAAGCAGTCATCCACTTTGAGTCTGACTTTGCCTCGGTGACCCTGGACATCATTCTGGCAAAAGGGACCAAGGAGTCACACTTAGGGATCTTTTTCCATCTTTTGATGGAGGAAGGTGAACCAAGAACATCTTACAAAGCCTTGCAAAAGTAAGATAGCGGCCCCCGTCCCCTCCCAGGGCCTAGAAGTGATGTTCCTGAAGACCTCTGCTTCCTTCATGGAACCAGGGTCAAAGGGATAAGCCACAGAAAAATGAGACTTCTCAGAAAAGTGCAGATGTCCTAACTTCTCAAATAAAATTTTAGCACCCAGAATGTGGGTTTTTTTCAGGCCGCTTAGTCCTTCCTTGTTTGTTCCACGAACAGCATAGTATCTTTGACCAAATAGATTTCAAGGAAACTTGATGCAGCTGCCAGCCTCATGGACACCGATCCTAGGCGCCAAATGCAACCAAGGGAGGATCTGGTGAGCAGCAAAGCAAGCCGCTGGGGCACAGCGGTCTGCCATCTGTCAGCGGAGAGATCTCGGAGTCCCCAGAAAGGCCGAGAGGAGGCTTCGTAAAGAAGGGGGCCTGAGGCTTATCCCATTTGGAAGGCAAACCGCTCAAGGGGAAGGAAGCAGTAGAGAGCAGGGGTGAAGGGGGACCTCGGAATCCCACCGGTGCTGCCCCTCAGTGTGTGGCCTCAGGCAGGTGCATTCACTGGAGATGGGCCTCTCCCCTGAAAAAGAGGGGGTACTTCCCTTGCAGAATTTAAGGATTAAAGGTGACTAAATACTTCAGAGCATGCTTCACTCAAATACTCATAAATGGTGGCTGTTTTAACTATTTAAAAAGTTTTGTTACTTGCCCATAGAATGTCTAATACTTAGGACTTGCTCAGGTTGACTAAATGGCTAAATGAGGGCTTGGTCAGATGTTTATCTAAAGCAGTGGTTCTCCAGTGGAGCAATTTTGCCCATGTCTGAAGGCGTTTTGGATTGCTGCTGCTGGGGGTGTGTGTGTGGATGTGTGTATGTGTTTGTATGATTAACAAGTAGCTGGAGAGCAAGGATGTTTCTAAACATCCTGCAACACACAGGACAGCCCCAGCTCTCCCCCGCCCAGTTGTTGCCCGAAATGTCAGTAGTGCTGAGGTGGAAACAAGGGAGAAGCTGGGGTTCACCCACCCAGATGAGGGGAGGGAGGGAAGCAAATAGATTTACAATTCTGGGATCTGGCGGCAAATGAGAATTCCTGCAAATATCCTTGGGAGAGGAATCCTCTTCTCAATGAGGACAGCTTCAGCAGTCATAACATACAAGGTTAAGTTAGAGAAACTGGATTCTGACTTGATACTCAGAGATCAGTGGACTGACTTCAGATCTTTGGTCAGACGTGAAAAAGCTATAGACATGAGAGGGGCAGCATGGGAAAGCAGTTGGAGGTTGCAGTGGGGTCCAGAAAAAAAAAGGGCATCACATACCAGTAGTAGATGAGGCCCATCTCTCATTTTTAAAAAAAGATTTTATTTTTAAGTAATCGCTCCACCCATTGTGGGGCCACAACTCAAAACCCTGAGATCAAAAGTCGCACACTCTACTGACTGAGCTAGCCAGGCGCCCCCCTCCATTTTTTCCCGCTAGGATAAGGCAAACTACATTTAAGAGACTATAAAGCACTAAACAAAGGGAAGTTTCCATGATTAGGGAAAGACTAATTCCTCAGAAAGTCAACGAAGGTATCTGGCAGAGCCAATATCTGTTCATCCTAGGGCCTTCAAGATGAAATTAATCTAAGTAAAAATTGCGACCTGAACACAGTTCTGGCCAATTTTTGACTTTTCAGTTGCTGGCAGAGCACTTTGGTACCCAATAGGAGTCCACACATCAATTCTGAAATAAGAATTAGCGCCTCAGCCCAGCCCAGGTCCTTCCTGGTCACAACAGGTTGAGAATACAAAGTAACCCTGTTGTATTAAGAAGTGCTAGTGAAATCTTTGGTTGGGGAGCCCAGGAATTCTGGAACCAGAGTTCAATGGAAAATGCTCACATCTCAGTCGTAATAATCTTTCTGAAGATGCTTTTAGATTTGGGGATTTTCATTTTTACCTTAAGCTAGTTAAACTTTTAAGCCTCAGCTTTTTCCCCGCAGAATGGAAAGAAGGGTCCGTGCCTGCACCCCTAGGGCTGCGGTAAAACGAAGTAAGATTAAGCACCTGAGTTCACTTTGTACTGACTGAGTCACCCAACTAAAGGTAGTGTTTTAAAACCCGCAGGCTTTTTACTTTTGGTTTACATTGCTCTTTACCAGTACTTCCTGTTTTCCCAGAGCTGGGCTGGGTTTTAAGAAGCAGCAGAATATGAGGGATACGACCCAGAAACGCCTATTAGTCCCCTCCCAGCACCTCTCGAGCTTTGTTTTTGGAGTTTCATGTCCTCCTCACAGGTAATCATTCCCACTTTACAGAT